AATCAAGACCTTGAACTGAGCACATAATATGTTACATCCTACCGAACAACATACTAAGGTCAAATAATAATATAAAGCAATACATTTAGCGATTTAGGCTATTATCGCAAATATAAACAGTATAAAATTGTATGAAAAGGTAATCATTATATATATACCAGATTAATCATTGCAACCCAGTCAGGGTTGCCACAACCCCCCCAACACGACAAACGGTCCCCGCCCCCAAACCTAGAGTTGCTATTAAGAGTCTTTCACATTATTACTGATTACTCAGGTTACATTACTAAACAGTTAAATATAAAAAATATGAATCCAGTCTTGTTGCTAAACACTTCTGTAATTTCACAGTGTCTATACAATAATAATGTCCCTAGGCTAGGGCAGTACAAGTATCGTATCTCTGCATACCCCGTGGTTAAGTACATCAATGTAGAGACAGGATAGCCACAGACAAGCATGACACATTGAGGCACGAACATAGTGTAGACAGCATAAACAGTCCTTGTTGCTTATAGACAGGAGACAGCACTCCACTCTTTAAGTAGTGGTTGTGGAATGCTATGCAGTATGGACATCTGATATGAAACAGCTTAATGTGTGTAGTAAGGGGGGGTCTGCGGCAGGACAGTGGTTCCCCTCACACAGTAAGCAATCGCCCACACACCCCTACCCCTCATCCACTTAGCTTCCTGCCTCCTCCTCACACAGCATATCATCAACTACTCTGAAATATAAATATAATAATTAGACATGAGTATATAATAATTAAATATGGTCTGGAGGGATTAAGTTACTCTATAGAATTTGACATAGCAATAACAAAAGGTATTTGGGCATAAAATTACGTAAAATTTTAAATGGGAAGTGCCCAATGCTCATGCAAAATGTTTCCAAGGACCCACAAGAGCTAGAGCCTCTTTTTCAATAATGCATAATTTTTGCTGGTGTCGTTTGAGCTTAGATAATATAACATATAGATGGAGAATATCAGTGGATGTTTGACTGTTGGAGCACCACAGCACTCCACTGCATAAACACTCTCATCTGTATGGGTATAAAGATGGGACGATTTAAATAGGACTCACACTGGAAGCTGAGGAAACAGATTGCTTCAACTTTGGAGCAAATCTGAACAACCACTAGTCCAGATGAACTGAACTTTGCTACTAGTTGAACATAGTGAGAGGTGTAGGCGGAGGTGTGTGTGTGGCATTGCTGTGGCTTGACTACAACACGAGGCAACGTCGCAAATGATCAGTCTACTGTTTCCTTCATCGTTTGGCCAAGTAAATATGTTTTGCCAGTTTACCGAGTTCTTCTTGAACACAAATGTCCCCATTGGGACTATTGTTAGCAAAATCTAATGACTTGGTTCACGAAATATAACTGGTAACACTACGAGATGCTTGACTGTGGTTGGAAACGCTATCAGCTGACAACTTACATGTATTTTTCTCCATCAGTACACCGTACTATAATAAGTAACAATTATCGAGACCTTGCTTTAATTCGACTCTCAGTAACTGCTATATCTCTCCGTCTTTCCATGAACTGATCAACAAACAGAAGCCTTGATTTAAATCATCATGAGTTATTAAATTTCTTAACGTCAGATGTGCATGACTAGTTGAAAATGACGCGGAGTGAGTTGGTGTTAAATCCTGGGCGCAAGCGTCACTAAACAACATATTCAACCCCAAATCATTGTCATCACACAACTCAACAAGAGACAAGTGAGGTTGTTGAAATCTTTGACATAGCTCTATTAAATGCACGAGAGGAAATAAAATAGTATTCTCTCTGCAAGGTTCAATGTCCATAATTATCATCAGTTTAGTAATCAATCACAAGTGGCTCCGTATATATTACCAGCATGAAGGATATCGTTTCCCCCTATCAACAGTCCACTGAACCTGATGGAAATACACCACTGGATATACGCCACTGAAATATAACCAGTATAATAGCTTGTTTCAATATAAACTTGTGCATAGTACTTTTATAACAGCCCCTCCATATTCTTCTAACAATACATCTATCTTGCAATAGGTATCATTAGTTGATGGAGGCAGTACATCATCTCTCAATAATATGAGATAACTGCCAGTGCCTCTGAAATTAATTACTCATTTAGATGTGATACGTCAATCCTACTTTATCTCTCGAAAAGTAAGGACTATCGCTGAACGAATCTTTTCGTCATATACACTTTCTGATGCAAGTCATCTGTCTGAGTAATATTCTCTAAAACAGTAGATCAGAGTATTACTAATGATTTTGGTGACTTTGTTGCTCGAAGATGATACACTACAGTAGTGATGATGACAGTATGGGTATCACTACAATGGTGATGTGACAGTATTGTGTATCCAACATTAGTGATGGTGTGACAGTATGGTGTATCACTACAGTAGTGATGATGACAGTATATTGTATCACTACAGTAGTGATGGTGACAGTATAGTGTATCACTACAGTAGTGATGGTGACAGTATGGTGTATCACTACAGTAGTGATGATGACAGTATGTGTATCACTACAGTAGTGATGATGGACCGTATAGTGTATCACTACAGTAGTGATGGTGACGAGTATGGTTAGTATCACTACAGTAGTGATGGTGACAGTATGGGTATCACTACAGTAGTGGATGATGACTGTATTGTGTATCACTACAGTAGTGATTGATGGCCACAGTAATGGGTGTATCACTACAGTATGATGAAGACAGTATGGAGTATCACTACAGTAGTGATGATTGCCAGTATGGTGTATCACTACAGTAGCGATGATGACAGTATGGTGTATCACTACAGTAATTTGTGATGGTGACAGTAAAAGGTGTATCACTACAGTAGTGATGATTGACAGTATATTGAATCACTACAGTAGAGATGGTGACAGTATGGTGTATCACTACAGTACAGATGAAGACAGTAATTGAATCACTACAGTAAGTGATGGTGACCGTAATGGTGTATACTACGAAGTGATGTGACAGTATGGTGTATCATCTACTGTATGATGGTGCCAGTATGGTGTATCACTACAGTGGTGAGGTGACAGTATGGTGTATCACACTGTAGTGATGGTGACATAAGTGAATCACTACAGTAAGAGACGGTGACAGTATGGTGAATCACTACAGTGTGATGGTGGCATAATGGTGTATCACTCATTGGTGATGGAGACAGTATGGTATATCACTACAGTGGTGATGGTGACAGTTGTTGTGTATCACTACAGTGTGATTGTGACAAGTATGGTGTATCACTACAGTAAGTGATGGTGACGTATGGATAATCACTCGAGTAGTGATGGTGACAGTATGGTTGTAAATCATCGACAGTGGTGTGGTGACAGTATGGTGTAATCACTACAGTAGTAATGGTGACAGTATGGTGTATCACCACAAAGAGATGGTGGACTAGTATTGTGCATCACTACAGTAGTGACGGTGACAGCATGTGTATCCCTACAATAGTGGATGGTGACAGTAATGGTGTATCACTATCAGTAGTGATGGGTGACAGTGTGGTGTATCACACAGTGGTGATGGTGACAGTAAGTTTTACACTACAGTAGTGATGGTGACAGTATGTGTATCACTACAGTAGTGATTGTGACGTTAATGGTGTATCACTACAGTGGTGATGGTGACAGATGGTGTATCACTACAGTAGTGATGGTGACAGTATTGTGTTCACTACGTAGTGATGGTGACAGTATTGTGAATCACTACAGAGGATGGACAGTATGGTGTAAATCACCTACAGTAGTGAAAATGGTGACTAGTATTGTGTATCACTACAGTAGTGATGTGACAGTATGGTGTATCACTAGAGTAAGTGATGGTGACAGTATGGTGTACATGCAGTGTGATGGTGCACAGTATTGTGTATCACTGCAGAATGATGGTGACAGTATGGTGTATCAACTACAGTAGTGATGGTGACAGTATGTTGTATCCCTATAGTGTGATGTGACAGTATGGTGTATCCACTACAGTAGTAATGATGACATATTTGTGTATCACTACAGTGGTGATGGAATACAGTATGGTGTATCACTACAGTATGATGGTGACAGTATGGTGTATCACAACAGTTAGTGATGTGACATTATGCGTTATCACTACAGTATGAATGTGGCAGTATGTGTATCACTAAATGGTGATGGTGAACAGTATGGTGTATCACTAACAGTCGTGATGGTGCCAGTATGGTGTAATCACTACAGTAGTGATGGTGACAGAATTGTGAATCACTACAGGTAATGAAGGTGGAAAACCATAATGTGTATCACTACAGTAGGAGAATTGACAGTATAGGTGGTATCACTACAGTGATGATGGTGACAGTATGGTGTATCATTACAGTGGTGTGGTGATCAGTATGTGTACACTAGAGTGGTGATGGGTGACCCAGTATGGAGTATCACTACAGTAGTGATAGTGACAGTATGTTGATTCACTACAAGTAGTGAAATGACAGTATATTGTACACTACAGTAAAAAAAAAAAAAAAAAAAAAAAAAAAAAAAAAAAAAAAAAAAAAAAAAAAAAAAAAAAAAAAAAAAAGGGATGGTGACAGTATGGTGTATCATTACAGTGGTGATGGTGACAGTATGGTGTATCACTAGAGTGGTGATGGTGACAGTATGGTATATCACTACAGTAGTGATAGTGACAGTATGGTGTATCACTACAGTAGTGATGATGACAGTATGGTGTATCACTACAGTAGTGATGATGACAGTATGGTGTAATCTACTACAGTATGTGATGGTGACAGGTATGGTGTATCACTACATATGATGATGACAGTAAAGGTGAATCACAACAGTATGTGATGACAGTATGGTGTATCACTACAGTAGTGATGATGACAGTATGGTGTATCACTACAGTAGTGATGGTGACAGTATATTGTATCACTACAGTAGTGATGATGACAGTATGGTGTATCACTACAGTAGTGATGATGACAGTATATTGTATCACTACAGTAGTGATGATGACAGTATGGTGTATCACTACAGGTGTGAGAGTGTCAGCAGCTACAGTGTCAGCAGCAACAGTGACGTCACTACCCAGCACACCGATGGTGGCGCTGGACCTGACTGATGTGACTGATGATATAGTGAGTCGTGCCTGTGACCTGGCCCAGGAGCTACAACCACCAGGAGGGTGAGTCCAACACTGTTGTTGTTGTGCTCTGAGTGAGGTGGTCCAGGAGCTATAACCACCAGGATGGTGAGTGAGATGGTCCAGGAGCTTCAACCACCAGGATGGTGAGTGAGGTGGTCCAGGAGCTATAACCACCAGGAGGGTGACTGAGGTGGTCCAGGAGCTACAACCAATAGGATGGTGAGTGAGGTCGTCCAGGAGTACAACCACCAGGATGATTAGTGAGATGGTCCAGGAGCTACAACCGCCAGGATGGTGAGTCAGGTGGTTCAGGAGGTACAATTACCAGGACGGTGAGTGAGGTGGTCCAGGAGCTAATAACCCAGGAGGGTGACTAAGGTGGGCCAGGAGCTGCAACCACCAGGATGGTGAGTCAGGTGGTTCAGGAGGTACAACCACCAGGATTGTGAGGTGGTCCAGGAGCTATAACCACCAGGAGGGTGAGTGAGGTGGTCCAGGAGCTATAGCCACCAGGAGGGTGAGTGAGGTGGTCCAGGAGCTACAACCACCAGGATGGTGAGTGAGGTTGTCCAGGAGCTACAACCACCAGGATGGTGAGTGAGGTGGGGGCAGGAGCTACAACCACCATGGAAGGTGAGTGAGGTGTCGCAGGACTACAACCACCAGGATGTTGTAGTGGAGGTGGTCCCAGGAGCTACAGACCACCAGGAGGGTGAGAGTGTGGTCAGGAGCTACAAACCACCAGGATGGTGAGTGAGGTGGTCCAGGAGCCTACAACCACCAGATGGGAGTGAGGGTACAGGAGCTACAACCACCAGGATGGTGAGGAGAGTGGTCCAGGAGCTACAACCACCATGATGGTGAGTGAGTGGTCCAGGAGCTACAACCACAAGGATTGGTGGAGTGAGGTTGGTCCCATGAGCTACTACCACCAGATTGTTGAGTAGGTGGTATAAAACGGAGCTACATCCATCCAGGATGGAGAGTGACGTCCAGGAGCTACAACCACCAGATGGTGAGTGAGGTGTACAGAGAGCTACAACCACCAGATGGTAGAGAGTGGTCCAGGAGCTACAACCACCAGGATGGTGAGTGGAGGTGGTACAGGAGCTACAACCACCAGGATTATGAGTGAGGTGTCCAGGAGCTACAACCACCAGGATGGTGAGTGAGGGTGTGTAGTCAGGAGCTACAACCACCAGGATGGTGAGTGAGGTGGTCCAGGAGCTACAAGACCCCCAGGATGGTGAGTGAGGTGGTCCAGGAGTACAAACCACCAGCCACGTTGAGTCCATCACTGTTGTTCTTGGTGTTACTTTACATTGTTTGATTGTGAGATTCTTGATTGATGTGATGGTACCGGTAGTAATGAAATTTACAAAAAAACGCGATTCTAAAAGCTTAGAGATCTCCAGTGAATACTAAAAGGAATGCCCTATCTAGCATCCAGCCTGTTACTGGTTTTGGGTAACAAGTAGTCAGTATCCTTTCCAATTACCTATAAATTCAGTATGGTTCAATAGTGCTTTAGGATTACAACAGGTAGGCTTAATAACTAGAGAAATTAAAATTTAAAAAATTTTTATTTAAGTAGTAATTTTGTCTAGCAGGTATATTATCAAATTAAATTAATTACAGCAATCAAAATAAAATCCAATCTCCTCAGTTCAATATTATTGTGCTGAAAGGCACATATCACATTTTATAATTCTAAGACCGTCAGGTACCATTAACATTTAATACGATATTACAAATATGTACAAGTGTGTGTAATGCGTATAAGTGCCTCTTTAAGTATTAGCTGTGTCCCTCAAGACTCGAATAAACTTAAACAAGTGACTGACAAAATCCTCAAATAAACTAACGTTCTTGACCGACTGCAACGCTGGAAAAGAAGACCGACAAGTCAGCTTGAACATCAAAGAATGCTAAGCCCAATAGCAATGCAATATCAAGCGACTGCGACACAGTATCATGGACTGAAATAATAAACGACACTAAGAAGGGACCAACTGCAGATCCTCGCACAAGTTTACAAAACTCCCATAAAACTGAATCTACGTTTAAAACAACCAGCATAAGGAAAAACTGTGACTGTGACAATAACACAGGAACCAGTACAAAATTAGGTCTAGAACTATAGCTCCGGGACCTGAATGTCAGAGTGTCAATAGGACACACAACCTCAAGTACAACGTCGAAAATCACTAAGTCTATACAATTGTTTCTGTGAACAAAGTTCTACAGAACTAACAAGAATAATGAGACAGACAATCTTGTCCAAACCAGCAAGCGAGTCTCCCACCAGACGTCAGACAGACAATCAGTCTCCCAACCACCAAACGAGTCTCCAGCAGACCCTGTCAGACAGACAACTGTCCAACCAGCAAGCGAGTCTCTCAGCAGACCTGGACAATTTCACGAGAGGTGAAGACAACCCTCCCCTAGATCACGTGAATATCTACGTTGGACAACTTCAGCTCAGAAGCCGGCAGTAATAACGAGCGACAAGCGATTATTACAGTAGTTTGACAATCAAGACAACTTGAGCATAACATTTATGGACATCCTAAACATAAAGTTAAATACCAATATAACAGTCAAATAATAATATAAAGTCAAACGTTGTTACGAATTAGCAATTATCCGCAAATATAATCAATATAAAATTAAATTAAAAGGTAATATACATTACATATATATATACATAATCATGTAACCCATTCAGGGGTTGCAACACCCCCCACATACACACAGAGTGTCGCACTAGAGATGCATATTCTTTCACATTATTTCTGGTTACTCATACAATATTATTATCAAAATAAAAATTAGTCTCTCTTGTGCCAAACACCTCTACAATTTCACAGCGTCCGTCACTAGGATATTGTCTCTAGTTCTAGGGCAGTACACAGTATCGTATCTCTGTATACTCCATGGTTTAAGTACATCAGTGTAGCGACAGGATAGCGCTGGACCAGGAGGGCACATAGATTCTCGATCATTATTTAGGGAGAACTGCATTCACTCTTAAGTAGTGGTTGTGTAATGCGATGGCAAAGTAAGAACATCTGAGTAATGAAACAAGCTTAAGGTGTTTAGTGAGGGGGGGTCTGCGGCGGACAGAGTTGCGTCACGCAAGTACATCACCTGCAATCCACACTACTCACTCAACACTCAGCTTGTCTCCCCTCACACAACATTACTGTGAATATATAAATATAAATAATTAGACATGACTTGAGTATATATAGTTAATAATGGGCGGAGGTATTAAGTTGACTTTACTGATTTGACGATAGCAAGTAACAAAAGGTAATTGGCATAAAATTACATAAATATTAAATGGGGAAGTGCCCGAAATACTCGTCAAAACGTTTCAAAGGACACAGTAAACACAAGAGCTAGACATAATTTTTCTGGTGTCGTTGAGCTAGATGAATAGTAACATATAGGATGGAGAATATCAGTGGATTTTGACTGTTGGAGCAGTGCAACACCCACTGTATAACCCGTACTCCATCTATTTGTAAAAAGATGGAAAGATTGAAATTGGACTCAACATGCTGGAAGCAAGATGAGAGCAAACTTTTCAACCTTTTGACGAGTCTGAACAATCACTAGTCCAGGTGAACTGAAAACATTGCTACTAGAGCCTCATAGTGAGAGGTGTAGGAGGAGGTGTGTGCGCTGGCTGCCTGTCACATGACAACACGTGGCACGTCGCACATGATCAGCTACTGTATTTCCTTCATCTTTGGCCAAGTAAAATGTTTTGCCAGTTTAGCGAGTGTCTTCTGACACCCAAATGTCCTCCTATTGGGACTATTGTGAGTAAAAATCAATCTGGCTTGTTCACGAATGTAACTGGTAACACTGCTGAGATCTTGAACTGGGATGGAAACACTATCAGCTGACACTTACATGTGTTTTTCTCCATCAGTACACCGTTACTATAATAGTAACAATTATCGAGAATCCTTTGCTTACTCTCAGTAAACTGCAAATCCTACAGTCTTCCCAGTGACTGATCAACAAACTGATCCTAGATTAAATCCATCATTAGTTAAAAATATAACGTCCAGTTGTGGTCCTGACTAAGTTGATGGACCAGGGGGAGTTAGTGTTAAATGATCCTGGCGCAGAGCGTCACAAAACAACATATTCAACCCCAATCATCGTCATCAACTACACAACAGGAGACCAAGGATGGTTTTGAATCTTTGACATACTCTATATTTGCGCCTGAGAGGAAATAAAAATAGGTTTCCATCTCTATCAAGCTCATGGCATAATTATCATCCAGTGTTATTATCAATCACAAGTGGTTTCTTTACATAATACAGCAGAAGATATCGTTCCCATCAACAAGTTCCACTGACGCTGATGGAAATACAACCACTGATATACCCACTAAATAAACCAGTATAATAGCTTGTTTTCGATATAAACTGTTGTGCAGAGGCACTTTTAAAACATCCCCTCCATAGGCTTCTAACAATACATCATATTGCAATAGGTATCGTCATTTATTGGCAGTCAACATCTTCTCTTAAAACGTGAGATAACTGCCAGTGTCTCTGAAAGAAATTATCTCAGTTAGATGTGATTCGTCCAACTCCTATTTTTTATCTCTCGAAAAGTAAGGACTCATCGCTGAACGAATCTTTCGTCAGACCAGACTTTCTGACGCTAGTCATCTATCCTGAGTAAACATTTATCTAAAAAACAGTAGGATAAGAGGAATTGCTAGGCTTTTTGATGTCTTTGTTGCTCGAAGAGGATACGACTTTATGGGCGCCAGCCGCCCGAGACTGCTTTCTCGTATCCGTTTCAAAACTTATAGAAAACTCTCTAGTATGGTCCTTTCCTGTTTACAATAGGTACATTTAACTTTCTTTCTTCTCGCTATCAAATTTCTGTCTAGCCACAAGAGATCAGATTTCAGGATTGTGGAGTTTCCTGGTAAATGTACGAGAAGTTACAGTAGTAGGTACTATCAGGCCGGCAATGATCAAGCTGATTTAGTTGCAAATTCT